CTGTTCTTTATTTCAGTTACTGTATCCTTTGTTTCTTTTCTTTTCGTGAACATATCCTCTAGATTTTATTGTCACATAATAAAACAAAAAATGAAGCTTAGAACTGGATCACTTGGTCCTTTCTCTTCCTATCTCCTCTGAGTTCATAATGCCTGCATCTCTTAATAGCCAGCATTCTCTTAGATCTGCTGTTGGGCTCAATACATTCAAGCCTCAGCACAATCTTCTTTGTAGTTTTAGCCTTTTTCCAGAAAATAGGCTTAGTCTGCCCACCACAGCCACTCTGCCTCCTGCCATCAAAGCTGCTTTCCCTGCGCATACAGAGACTCCTTGCCCTTTTTGTACTGTATTCCTTTGTGGGGTCAATGCTTGCCACACTTGTTACAGAAAGTCCAGCGGGTTTTAAGAACATTCACCATGTTTGTGATGGTGCTAACAGCACAGTAAGGAAGTGTATCCTTTTTTTCTGACTGGATCTTTTTTATGCTGTTGAGGTCCTCATTAAGTGTTTTGAACTCTGCATCTGAAGGCTTGCTTATCTCCATTTGGTTTAGTTCTTTTTCTGGAGTTTTCATCTGTTCTTTCATTTGGGCCGTGATTCTTTGTTTCCTCATTTTGGCAACTTCCCCGTATTTGTTTCTATGTATTAGGTAGATCTGCTATGACTCCCTGTCTTGGTAGCATGGCCTAATATAGTAGGTGTCCTATAGGGCTCAGTGGCATAGCTTCCCCTATCACTCAAAATCGGTACTCAAGGTACACACTCCATGTGGGTGAGTACCTCCTCCTCTTGCATTTGAGCCTTGATTGATGTTGGCAGGTCAAATAGGAGGGATTTACCCATACCAGTCTGCTGCAAGGACTGGCTGTGACCACTGACCACCAACCTCTGCCTTTCATGGAGGATCAGATGTGCCGGGGCAGAATGGTGGTATTTTGACATGGTGTGTAGCTATCCACCAGGTGTGTAGGCCCTGGAGTTTCTGGGTGGTGCAGGCCAAGGTCAGCCCCCATCACTGTTCTACCTAGGGCCTCCCAGTATGAGCTATAAAGTAATGGATATATGGCTGCTACTTGTAATAGGCTTGGAGGCTCCCAGGCAAAGACAAGCTGTGAACCTAGGCTGGCTGCTACTAGTGCCAGGCCTGGGGCCACTTAGCAAGAGGTATGGGGGTTGGGGGCTCGTTGAGGCTGGTTGTTGCTTGTTTGAGAGGATTTAGGAATATGTGTAGGATGAGCCAAGACCAGCCATTCAAATGGAAAAATCACTGTTAACAGCTTGGGTGGGCCCCTAAGTTGGGTAGAGTGGAGCCTCAGGTGAACACCAGGGTGAGGAAAAGCATGCAAGCCAGGTTGATGGCATCTCAGATATGATACCCGCCTGCTGGCTCTGGGGCTCTGTGGTGGGGGAGATTGTTCAGAAAAGGAACAATGGCCTCTGCCCACCTTTCTCTCTGGGAGAGAGCTGTCCCGTAGCTCTCACCCTGATGCCAGACACTTCAATTCTTCCCTATATGCCACTGGTGTCTTTCAAGCTGCTACCCTTGTGCTGGAGCTCAGAGGTAGTGAATCTGAATAGACTGTGTGCAGGTCTTTTAAGAGGAACTGCCTGGGGATCCAGCAGTTTCTTCCACTGACTCAATTCCTGCTGGTTCTCACAGCCAGAAGCTTTGGGGACTTAATCTTTCTTGCACTAGTACCCTGGGCTAAGGGCCCTGGTATGGGGCTGGGGCCCTTTGCTCCTCAGATATCCCTCTTGAATTTCATCCACCAAACATGGCTGTGGGACCAGCCTGTTCTGCATCTTCTTCCCTCCTACAGTTTGGATGGATGTGTTTTCTTTAATTCCGTAGTTGCTGGACTTCCATTCAACTTGATTTCTGATAGTTCTGAATGATAATTATTCTATAGTTTAGTTGTAATTTTGATGTGGTTGTGCGAGGAGGTGAGCTGTGTTTAATATGCCTCCATCTCGACTGGAAGCCAATGTCTTAACCAGAAACAATATTTTTAAAAAGTTATATGCTGATTGGTTGACAAAAATGTGACCAGTGGCTTACAGTAACCTAACTTTTGTATTTCCCCTGGAAGCAATGATTCAGTATTCACTAATTCAGTGTTTGTGGTGACTTCATAGAACACGTAACCACCAAAAATAACCACAACTGACTGACATCCCTAGTCATTTTCATATTAACATGAGATATTTTTTGCTTTATACTCTGTTCCAACACTTAAAAGTTAGACCTCTATATCACACTCATTATTTTCTGAATTTTATGTGCACTGTAATTGAAAGATTTATTTTCAGTCCGTTTATATTAAGGGGGGAATATTGGTTGTATTTAAATTAAAATTATACATTACAAGAAGTTTGTTTCAAATGTGTCTACTATACTTTTACTGTTTTTGTACAAAGAGGCTCATAAAATTGCTAATATAGTTTGTATGAACTGTGACATAAATATGTAACAATGTCTACTGTACAGTTGACCCTTGAACAACACTGCGGTTGGGGCACCGACTCCCCCAAAATTTAACTACCAATAGCTTACTGTGACCAGAAGCCTAACCTATAACAGAACAGTCAATTAAGTACTTAATACGTTATATATTACATACTGTATTCCTAAAGTAAGCTAGAGAAAAGAAAATATTGTGAAGAAAGTCATAAGAGAAAACACCTACGTATAAGTGGAACTGTGCAGTTCAAGCCCATATCGTTCAAGAGTCACTACATTACCAATAGAATTAGCTTTCTGCTTTCCAGTCATATAACACCAATTATGGAAAAAGCCCACTCCCCTCTATGATTTAGAGCCAAACATCATGAACCTCAATGAATTAGGGAGTGGTAGCTCCCTTTAAAGACAGAACTATCCCTGTCTGCATAGCTCAGTTGGGTAGAGCATCTATCTGATATACCAAGGTTGCAGGTTTGATCCCTGGTCAAGGCACATACAAGAATCAACTGGTGAATGCATGAATAGTGGAAGAACAAATTGATGTTTCTCTCCCTTTCTCTCTCTCTCAATCAATCAATCAATCAATCAATCAATCAATCAATCAAAAGGACAGGATTATAACCCTCTAACTAGACAAGTCGAAGTCACCCACCTTGTAAAAGGCCCCACTGGAGTGACATCTGCCCTGCTAGCAACTCCTACAGAAGGAGCAGCCTTATGTAGGTGAGTCAGTCTAATACAGTGGCTTTCGAGGTAGAAAGATCTGGAGGTAAACCCCAATTATAGAGAGGTCAACCCATACGTAGAGTGAGGCCACAGGATTTTATGGCAGACCGATAATTGGGAATAAGTAGAAGTTGAGAAAACAGAGATAGACAGAAGAAAACTATAAGCCACTTGGTAGTCAAACAAAAAGAAAAGCACACACTAGAGAATAGCTAAAAACATAAATGCCAGTGAGAACTGTACTCCTGCTGCTGAGATACCCTGAAGCTCCATAAAAGCCTTCTACAGTTTGTTTCAATTTTTTAAACTATCTTCTTCTTCCTGTTATACAATAGCTATGCTCTGGCAAGGTTCTGCTTTTTGAATCCCATGACCTACAAGTATGGACCACCACCCCAACCCTATTTGAAGTGCTTATCCCATATAGAAGTTGGAAAATTGTGCTAGAGAATGTAAGAATCAAGCATTCAAAAGAGTAGGGGTAGGGGAGTTGCTGGACAAATGGTCTTTTCCAACCCCATGATTCTAAGCTATGATCCTACTTATGTTTTCTTCAAGGTAACACAAATCCACATAAATTTACCATCACTGAATAGTAGCTTCTTTTATAGATCTAAAATCATCCTTCAAACAGGTGCACCATAGTTCCAATATTCTAAGGTTTCCTGAACATCCTCATTTTAGCTTTATGACTCTACAGATTTCAGTAAGTTTTCTTAAGCCTTATTTTCAAAATGTAGAATCCTTATATTTTTAGTATCTTATACCAAGTCCCATAGCATGCTAACCCAGTGGAATATTTTACAGTAAAACATTCTTCTGGGTTAACAGTGGAATTTTTTTTTTCATTGAGTATTTCTCCTTAGGTATCCTTCTCTGTACATAAACACCTATTTAATCTCACGCTTTTAAAAAGGCTGATATGTTGTTTCATTATACAAATGTACCATAATTAATATTTCATCAGTCTAACTAATGGACCTTGGATTGCCTCCAATTATTTACTACTACATGCAATGCCATGTAATGGGGTCAATGCCTTTTACATGTGTACCTGTGAATATGCAAGAGTAACTAAATTATCACTGGACTATTTTAAATTGCTACTTTCTTAACTGAGATTACATGTGTCTTGCAAAGAGAACAAAGACTAGAAAGCACTCAAACTCTGGTTGCAGATGTAAATACAATTAACAATAAGTAGCTTTCCATTAAATATAGATAAAAGACTCCGGAAATTTTGGTTCTTCTTAGGTGCGGAGATAATGACAAACCAGAACCGGAGAGTGTGAGTGTGGCATGATGCTTTTGATTATGTTCACGTAAAAAGGAATGACTGTGAAAGACGGACAATTGGAAAAATGAAGAAATTGTCTATTTTTTGGGAACTAGAGTTCCCAAGCCAAAGGGTTCCCTAGCCAAGAAAATAATTATTGAAGAATTTTAGATACCTCAGATATGAGGTTAAAAAATAATAAAAACTTAACAGGTGAAGCTTTGAAACTTCAATTTGATCCTTTAATATTCCCAATATCCAAAAGTTCAAAGGTTATGATGTGCGCTTTTAAAATATTATATATGCGTATATACTTAAAAAGAAAATGAACGCGTCATAGCTCCTGCCTTCTTTAAAAACACCACCCCTCAGCCTGGCCAGAGAAGGGGGACCCGAGTGGCGCGGGAGCCGCATCCGCGCAGCCTCCCTGAACGCCTGCGCTCTGGGTCCGGGGTCGAGGTCGGTAACTGCAGAGAGGGCAAGTGGCTTCCCAGGCCGACCAGAGCGACGAGCGACCTACCCTCGAGACTCACCTCAGTTCTTCGTCTACACTCCTACCGGGCTGCTCTTCGGCCGAGGCCACCATAGAGGAAGTCGTAGAGCTCTTATTCTTCAGGATTCCCTTTATGGGCCGGTGCGAGGCCGTCGAGGCCGCCATTGCCCGCCCCTCCGGCAGTCGGCTCAGGGTCGCTGCTTGGCGTCGGGTCCAGGAAGGAAAGGGGTAGGCGCGAGCTGAGACTCGCCAAGCAGCCGCCGAGCCCTCTTGGGGCTAATAGAGTGGCCTCACCTGCTCTTGTGGAGACGGCTACCAGCGTCGTTTTCACGACACAATGACCCCGATGCTTTGGCGTCTAGCCGGCGCCGCGCGGCTGGCAGCTCTACGGGCACCCTTAGCCACCAGCGCTTTGATCCGTGGCCTGCGAAGAGAAGCTGGCCTATCGCCCCAGCGCGGGAGCGACGCTGACGCTGAAGCCAACGGGTCCCGCCCTCTCGCGATATCCAGGGCGGGGGCGGAGCAGAACAAAGCCAACATTCTCGCCCCGCCTCCTCGTGGCCCTCGCTGTGGGCTTGCCCGTACCATTGGTGCAGGGGGCCGAGGAGCTATTTTAAGAGAACCTTCGGAGAGAGAGGTTCCTGGCATGTCTGTGTACAGGATTACAAATCGCTCCAAACACCCTCATCCCCACCACTGTATGAAGTCCATATTGTTATTACTGTTTTTTATAGATGGGAAAACTGAGACTTAAAGGCGACATCATTCCTCAAAGATACTAGCTGACTTTCAGAGTAATATGTCTCCTTTCTTCCATTGAACCCGCATGAAAAGTTTAATTCTCTATTATTAAATCTTGGAATATCAGCAGTGAAATGATCCTTAGAGACCTATTGTGAAATCATAGAATATTGACTTTTTTGAGATCATAGAGTATCAGCATTGAAATTGTCTCATTTATTTTTTAGAAATAAATTTTGGAGAAATTGACGCACACAGAGGGGAAATGACCTGACTACTCTTGCCACACAGCTCATTCATAGTGTGTGGTCATGGGACTTCAGACTCCTCTCTTCTAGTCTGATGTTTCCACATTTTAGGACTTTCTCCCTCTGTGCTGGTAATTCAGTGAAAGGTATTACTGGCAGAAATTTCTAGACTTGTGGATTATAATGTCTCCCCCACCCCCCAGCCCCCAAATCTAGGGAGTTCACTTAAGGTAACCATGTGTGCAACACTGAGTGAAATAGGCCAGAGCCTTTGGAGCTCTCCAGGTTTTTGTGAGAATCTCAAAGAAGAAAAATAGAAAACAAAACCCTCACACACACTTCCCAAGTGTTTCTGTGTTTGGGTGTAAATCAAAGATTACAGGGAGGACTTTGATAAGAAAGAAGGAAAGAGCTCATGGGTCCAGGGTATTAGCATATATATGTGGGTGTCCAGGTTGGGAGTTCTGTGGATGTCATGAGGGGAAGTGGTTCTTTGGAGTATAGGAAAGAGCAGAATTTTGAAGCCCTGGGAACAAGCTCAGAACTATGCTGTGTCTCAAGTCAAGGGAGGGCCAGCAGAGGGATTGGTGTTCACTTGAGCCACTCAACCTCTCTCTATGCAGTGTCAGCCCTAGAGTTGTACAGATGGGAAAAGAGGAGATCTCAGCAATTTAGCAAGCTGCCTCCTGTTATGGGTTGTTGTGTCCACCTACAATTAAGCTATGTTGAAGTCCTAACTCCCAATACCTCACACTGTAACCTTATTTGGAAATACGGTAGTTGGAGGTCAAATTAGTTAAATTAATGTGAAATCATACTGGAGTAGGGTGGACCCCTAATCCAATATGACTAATGTCCCTATAAGAAGATGGACATGTGGAGACAGATCAGGAGGACTCTATGTGATGTAGAGGATTTGAGTGATGCATCTACAAGCCAAGGAACACCTGGGCTACCCAAGGCTAGGAGAGGCATGAAGCAGATTCTCCATGAAATAGGACTCTCAGAAGGAACCAACTCTGCTGAAATCTTAATTTTGGACTGTGAGACAAATTTCCATTTATTAAAGCCACCCCATTTGTGGTATTTTGTTTTGGTAGCCCTATAAACTCCCTCCCCTCTCCTCCTACCCCCAGTTCCCCACTTCTTCATCAGCAGGCTTTTCCCCACCATTTATTCCTGATCTGGCCTCTTCATCATCCTTATGACAGGCCAGAGCAGAGCAGACTAGTCCACCCAGAACTGACCCGTTAGCAGACCATCCCTCTGTGAATTCACAAACTAATTGGTTTGAAAAGGGCCTTGTCAGTCCTACCAGATAGCTATCCAGTCCCTTCTCCAAAACCCCCAGTGGCCAAGAGCTTACCATTGCACAACGTATTTCATTTTATCTTTGGACAGCTCTGACTAGGGAAGTTCTTCCTTCGATTAAGCTGACACCTGGTTCCCAGCAATATCTGGCTCCTGGTGTAGGGAGTGAGAGGAGAAAATGTGGATGGGGAAGAGCTACCTCTATCTTACCTCAACGGTAGTGATCCCACTCAAGTGGGTTCCAAATCTCATCTTTCTTAGCACAGCATCTGTGCTTTGAGGAGCAACATTCAGTTCAGAGTCCTTAGAGCTCTGTTCCTTGAGAACAACTTCAGGGTTCCTGAAAATGATTCCGTTTTTATTGCTGCGCTCCCAACCTGTAGCTGAGCTCCTGGCATGGAACAGAATGGAACATGCCTCAGTAAAGGAATGTATGATGATTGGAGATAATGGAGGGGTAAGTGAGCAGGCAGGACAGAAGAGCAACAACTTTGCTAATTAAAGGCCTTCACAGCTGCCCCATGGCACCTCCCTCTCTTGGCCCCATCCCTGTTCCTAGCCACAAGGTTCCCACTGTTTAGTGGATCTGACATCATGCTCTAACAGCCCTGCAAAGCCCCTGAGGCAGAGACAGGGTTCTCATTGAGGGGGAAATGGACGGTCATCTCCCTTCCTGAATTCTTTTTACTTTTTTACTGCAGGCTCCAACACTTGCTTCTCCTGGTCTGTCGGCAGGAGCTCTGGTGAGTGGTGGTAATCCTGTTTTCAAGGCAATACATAAAACTTCCCTTCATGTTCTGAATTACTGGACCGATTTGCTTTGTTCCTGCTTGGTCCCAGCTGTCACCTCTGAAAAGCTAACTGTGACTGGGCCCTTAATGAAGCACTGCCTTGCTTTGAGACCCTCTAATGAAAGGGGCTGCTGCAGTATGATATGATATGTTTTATTACAGTTAATAAAAAGCACTGGAATAGGAGGTGAGGAGGAAGAGTTCTCTGAAGAACCTTGAAAAACGTTTCCCTCATTAAAAGTCAAATTTTAGCTTCTTATATTATTTCTTCCACTCCCAACCCCACTCAAAGTGAACACAGATGAACAGGACATTCTTAATGTTTTTAAAAAACAATAAAATATTAGTTTGCAAGATTGTGAGTGCCAGTACAGCTTTTCTTTATATTATACATTGAACCACTTTATTTCTTAGTGTGGCCCAAAGAAGCTTGCCAAATGCCTCTAAACAGAACTTTGCTTCTATGCCTCTGCTGAGATCTGCTCTTGTAGGAAGTCATCTGGACCAACACCTACATTTTGCTGTATTTGTTATATTTCCTGTATGTCCAAGAAATGGATTGTGAATGAAGTCTTCCACTCTGCTTTCAGTTTTTGGAGATAGCTATTGAGCTGAAGACAAATCATGTATTTAAATACATATACATGTTTAAGGATCATCTGACTATTATTTCTGCTTTCTTTTTGAAGATTTCATCAGTTATCGATTCAATGCTATTTATAGGGAGGAGGAGAGGAGACATTTTTAATATACTCCCTGATGTGCCTGAGTCAGTTGGCTCCCTGCTCATTGGAATAGGCTACTGAGGTCAACACTGCTTGGTTTCCTACCAAGAAAAGAACTCCAAAGCTGGAAATAGCTTCTGTGACTAGCTCCACCCCACCTGCTTAAGTCATCAACCAGGGTTCACTGAGCAGAGCCATGATAATGCCCACCCCGCACTTCTGGAAAAATACCCAAAGGTTGTGGCTTAATGACTTAATGACCTCTGAGTCAGTGACATCTCTTTCCTTGCCAAGAATCATAGCACATGGTTCTTTTCTTTATTAGATAATTCATCCACAGGGCAAGAAAATCCCAGATTTCATAGGACATGATAGAAATTCATGGTAAGAGGGGCAAGGTTATTGAAACAAAATACAGAAAGTATTAAAAAGAGAGAGAGAGAGAAAGCCAAGGACAAAGATGAATCATTTTCTGTTTACAAAATGGCTTTGATTTGCAACTGTGGCACTCTCTTTCTCTTCTCTTCAAAGGTATCTACCAGAAGGATTCCTGGGCCTCACCCCAAAAGCCTTCAAGCTGCCAAATTCTTTTCTGAGGAGACGGCACACTTCTCAGGTACACAAAGATTTCATTGGCCCCTGTTTCCCGAACATTTAAAAACTAGTGAAATCAAGGGAAGCTAGAGAAGTAGTTACTTTTTTTCAAAGCCTGTTGGACAAAAATGGAAAGACAAAAGAAGTCATGGTACATAGCGTGAAGGACCTTGGGAACAAAAATGGGAAATGTTTGTTATTTTCTTGGCTAAACTACAAATTTCTCTTGTGATTGCCAGAAATCCACTTTGTAAATTTTGTAAGAAATAAGCAATGCCATTTACTGTAATTTTATTATGCTAATTTTGCCTGATTCTAATGCATTTTATTATTCTGTGAACTCATAATGGAATAAGGAGTACAGATTTTTAATTCATAATATGTGTGATGTTTAAGCTTGTATAGTCATTATTTACACTAGGAAGACTATTTGCTTTAATACTGTGTTTATGTCCCTTACATTTGTTCTTGTTTGAAATTTCTCAAGTATTGGTCTAGGGACCTATCTTCATTTTCTTTACTGTCTATTCATCTTTGTACTGCTTTCATGCTACAAAAAAAATTGCTTATGTAATGAACTTTAATTTTAAGTTCAGTTCCACTTCGCCAGGCATGGTGTTAGGCACAGGGCAAACAATTAGACCCTTCTCTCCTTTTGTCTTTTGCTCCAGGAACTGGGTCTTCAGTGACTGCTCATTACATAGCATAAAGTCCAAACTCCTTGGAACTTCACAATCTGTCACCATCTGCTTTTCTAGGCTTCTTGTCTTTTCTCATCCATTTCCTTTCTCCCTATGTTCTTCACACCAGTCAAACTACCCTTGTAAGGTGCGAAAGCACCCCATGTTCTCTTATTCTTTTTCATACTTTTATTAACTGTGTAAAATACTACCACGTATTCTTGCCTTGGAATTGCCCCAGATCAAAGGTCGCCTCCTTCCTTATTTCACTCTGGCAGAGATAGTCTTTTTCTCCACTGAGATCCCAAGGAACTGTTGCATTCCTCTATCTCATAGTATTATAATTCCCTAAGTGTCTATCTTCCACTGTGCCCTCTTTGGGAGCAGGCACATTTCTTCCCAAGAGCT